TTGAAGAAAAGAATGCGTCTCTAGACCTAGAGTTCTTTCTCCGTCGGTTCGTAGGAATACTACATTTTGCTTATAGCGAGTTTTGATTAGTTTGATAGCAAACTGAAGAATTTCCTGAGCATCTGCCTTGTTTGGATAGGTAAAAATAAAATGGAAGCCTTTTTGCGTATAGGCAAAGTGGGATATCTACTTGTCTCCGTTGTATCCTCTTTGCATCTAGATGAGATCGAATGATAGGCGATAGAACGCCTCTAGTAAGGTCTCTTCCTTGCTTAAAGATCTCGAGACGATTTTGTGTAATTTTAACAATGCATAGGTATTGTATTTTGAAGTATTAGGAGTCGGCGGGTTCTTGGTGATAACTACGCCCTTAGTATTTTCCTAAAGATGCTGGATTGCCTCTAAATTTGTATAAGCTAGCGTGCTATGCTATTTCTCCTCGGACGATGTTCGAACTGATATTGCGAAGAAGGAATGAGCCTGATTTTAATCTTGGCTCGGTTGGTTATTTTCAAGAAGAAATTGTCCTTAAGAAGGTTGGATCTTGCAGAGATGTTTACCCTGAAGAGTAAGTTCTATTGCTTGCGTGTCCTAGTGGATTCCTTTAGCTATAGTAAGCTTTAGAGAGACGAGATTCGTTATGAATTCTGGTACGAATGCGACGTTGTTGAGCGTAATAAGGCCTTCGCCTTTTTCTGTCTTTATAGAAATGGATATAGTTCCCTATGCCTTGATTGAAGATATATGGGTTCCTGAAATGAGTGATTCGCCTTGCGTCGCCTTGCGGGATTGTTGGAATCTATCTGCTATTGTATGGTTGCAGACATGCGTGTTTAATCTAGAATCTAAGATCTATAAGTCCTGGAGAGAGTATTGAACGGTTGGAAATGAAGCGAAGTGAGAAGGAAATGAGGCGATGTTCTGCTTCTTTGATGGGTCTTCTTGTTCTTTGGGTTGATCTGGCTCTTTTGTTTGATTGAGTCGCCTTTTTCGTTCGATTAAAGCGTCTACACGCTCCTTATACTTTAGATCTTTAAGCTTTTCTTGAATAGTAGCCTGAATTAACTAATTTGGTTTAAAAGTTCTTGGACGGATCGTTGTATTATAGTAGTAGTAGTTACTCTAAAAGTGATGCTTTCCGTAGTCGTAGAGTGGTTTCTGCTTAAGCTGTTTTCCTTGGAAGTTTGCCTGGAAGGCTGAATGAGAACTAGTAGTTAACTTTTGAGATTTATTTGTTCTATAGAACTGGCGAAACTTCTCGATGAGATCGTATAGATCTGTTATCGAAGCGGGATTATTAATTAATTTAACTTGTATTGAGGTTGTAAACTGAGGTTCGATGGGCTTAAGAGCGTTTAGAAAGTCTCTAGTAGGCCTGCTGCCTGATACTTTAGCAAGATTATGCTTCTTTGCTTTAGTATAGAGCTTCTCCTATTACTGTAGCTATGTGTCGATTGATTGAGCCTTCGGGGCTTTGCAAAGATTGCGGTATTACTACTCTAGCTCTATAAGCCGTGCCTGATCCGTAGGCGCTAGGCGTTTTTGTAAAGCTCTAAGGATGTCCTATAGATGGGTCTTAACTAATATAATAAAAGAGAGATTATTAACTAAGATCGATTCTTGGATGTAGGTTATAAGATCTACGAGAGCCTTCTCACGTTTGTCGAATACCGCTGTTTGGTGACGAAAGATAGTGAATTCGGTTTGAAATTGTGCCTGGCTATTTGCCTCTCCTAAAGCAGGTAAAGATGGCAGCGTAGGTTCTTGAAGTTAATCTAGTTTAGTAGACTTGGATGGATTAACTACTTCCTAAATGCGTAGTACTGTTGCACGCGACCGCACAAGGTATAGCCAGTTATCCTAATCTGAGGGCTTGTTGAGGACGACTGATCTCTTTATAGACTCAGCCATGTTCGAAACAGTGTAGACAGCCTTCCGCCGTCTAAAACAAATGTTACACTAGCTTATCAAGCGAGTGAACCGATAAGATTTGATCAAAGATTAATCTCAAAGGGAATAGGCGCAAAAGGATACGATTCCGGGCTCATAACTGTAAAGCTAGGCGCGAGGAATTAGACGCCGCTTTTTTCCTAGATTACTACTACCTATAGAGGTATATATGCTGCTATCTAAAAGAACACGTTTCTTATTAAGATCCTTAATTCCTTGCAGTAGAAGAACGTGTGGTGTAAGGGAGTCAGTTTATTATGTAACAACTAACCGTAGGGTTGAAGCTGTGCGTTGTTAGAGTGATACTGGCTGACAAGAATTTACCTAAGGCATTCTCCGCCTCGTTGTGAGTATGCTCATGTACCATATGGTTATTGAGAATTACCTGCATTCAAACCAGCAATGAATATTTATAATCTCCATATTTATATACGGAAGCAACCAGTTTCATAGCGATCTTATAAATATCCAAGGACAGAATATAAAACTTGCTCAGAGTCCTTATTCCTACAACAAATAAAGGCGTTCGCTTGCAGCTTATGGCTCCAACACTCGAATAACCTGCATATCCACTAAACATGTGATTCATTGCCTATAACTAGACGTGTCCTATTTTAAGGAGAGTTGTTTCCGGTAATTCAAGCTCCGATAGCCATTAAATTTTTCTATAAGATACCAGAAATCCTCGACTTTGGCAACACACTTTTAAATCCAAACGGTCAATACTATATAACTCTACTATGGACACTCAATTAGTCTCACCGGTAAACCCGCCCTCTTCAATAAGCAGTATTACTGCAAGTAGTGCAAGCATCGCCGACATCCAAGAGGATCACCAAGCTCCAGTCGAAGACCCTACTGGAGACCATCTCAACCATTCAGTTGACGATTCGAACGACGTTGCAAATGAAACCAGTAAGGACAGCCCTTAACAAATTGACAAGAGTAATATGTTATTCTAATCACATACACAACATAGACTCTCCTAGTGTTGGAGATTTACCGGAGCCCCCTGTTTACGAAAGCTATCCCGAAACTCGGTACGCAGAGCTCCAGGACCACGAATCATTCCCACAGGTCGTGCTGGATCGTAACAATCTTCCACAAGTCCAATATGGAATACAACCTGAGGCTTGGGGTCAAGAGACCATGTTGGATACTTCGGAACACACAAAGCCTCCAAAGAAGATATGCGGACTCCCTAAACTCTGGTTTTGGATTACTACTAGTGGCATTGCTACGCTTGGAATAATTGCCGTTATCGTCGGTGGAGTCCTCGGAGCAAGAGCTGGCTCCTCGAAACCAGAAACCAGTTTCCTCCCAACGACGCATTTGGCAGCTGTAAATTACACAGAGCCAAATGGTGTGCAGCACCGGCGCGTATATTTTCAAGCGAAAAACAATGCTCTCTATCAAACAGCATGGGATTCAAACCTTCAGGAGTGGCAGGTGTCGCCACTCAATCCCAAGGAAGCGGATGGGCCTTCGATCAAACCCGGAACTCCTCTAGCAGCGTATACATTTGGTGACCAGCAGCTTGTGAGTAATACCCAGTATTTAAAGAATAGCTGTGAGACTGTCTCTAAGCCTTGGCTCTTCAGGACCGCACCGAATATCACGTCTTTTTCTTAGATACAGACAACAAACTATGGGAACGCGGTTCCCTTGATGCTGCCGACATGTGGAGTAAACAGACTGATAATGTGGTACAAGGCCAGTACACAGTGTCGGCTGATTCAAAGCTCACCGCATATGCTCGCCAATGCGAAAGATATTGTTCCATGACATCTGTCCTGGCTTGGCAAGGCTCAGCGGGCAGGCTCTGGTTTGCAGGCTATGTCGGTAGCGATGGATGGTGGGCGCATGAAGCGAGCGGAGCAAACAACAATAACAACCCTGATCAAACATTGATCAGTGGGAGCGCGCTTTCTTTAACTCCCATTTGGGCTAACCAGACGAGCCTGTTAGCTCTGTATGGTAATACTAACAGTGGCAAGTTGGCGCGCTTCGTATTCAATACAACTGATAAATGGGAAGAAGGATGGTCTTTCAATGGTAAGACTTTTAATTTTTATTTTATCTTATCTTATTTTCTAATCCTAAATGCCCTCTCGCTCCCCACGAATTTTAGAATACGTTCTTAGGTATTGACCTCATCATTAGATTCCTTCCCTGGCCCTTTAGCACCAGAAGCAAATCTGGCTGGCTTTGCTCAATCATACTTCGGGGCAAACGACACAATGGGAGATGTTGAGTTTGTAGCAACAAGGCCTGGCAACACCTCCAAAGGGGGCGCTCTCAGCTGGGACTCAAATTATTCTTCCGATAACCTATTCAACAACAGCGCCGTAGATACCTTTTCCGCAGTATCAAATTTTTCGGCTATTGCCGCAACAGCCGGAGGCAATGTCTACGCCATCGAAGAAGATCAACTGATTGAATGGGAGTGGCAGCATGGGAATCGGTCGTATCTTAGACGAGGAGTTGTTAACACTGATATAAAGAAATGAGCACTTGCTAGATTTTGTAATGGAATTTAGGGGAATAAAAGCTTGATGTATTGGCGTTTATCGAACTGATTCGGAGTCGGTACTGCGAGACCTCGTGTGCGGCACAACTTTGGATGTACCCGGAAAAACTACTTCAGCGTTCTGCAATAAAACTGCTGTATTTTATAAAGAAATTTGTATATATTTAGTAGAATTTGACTTTTCCCTACACTGTCTAAAACTATGTTCAAATAGTCTAATACCTTATTGTCAGCCAGTATCACTCTAACAACGCACAGCTTCAACCCTACGGTTAGTT